TCTCTTTGTGTAACTCTGACTTTCAAATAAATAAATAAATCTTTTCAAAAAAAGAAGGTGATTGTGCTTGCCAGCAGTGCTAACAAACTGGCCTCAGTTCCCTGTTATCCAGCTCATAGCTTCATCAATCCAATTTTCCACCCATTCTCTCTGCCACAAAGAGGTGTGTCTGACCTCACTGAGCAGCTCCCAAGAGAAGGGCTACTGTGCCCTCTTCCAAAAATGAAGGAGACTGACAACAGTCAACAGTTTTCCCAAAAATTGCCATTTTAGCTCTAAATTCCTTTTCAGTATGCCATGAGGTTTGTGATAGAATTCAGACCTTTTGATTAAAAATACAATGGAACAAAAACAACCAAAGAACCTCAGTGTTGATATTGGAGAATGAGAGCCACTAAACCGCTACCAAGGGCAGAAGGTGGTGTATGGAGCACAGGGTGAAGACAACACAAAACTGATTTCTCCTTCCAGCTGTAGTGGATGATTTTCTTTATTGCTTCCATACAATTCAATCCACTGGAACATCATACAATCTGATTTTACTTATTTATGGCAAGGCATTGTTCTAGGCACTGAGAATACAGGCAAAACCAGAACTAAGTGCCTGTCCTCAAGAGGGTTGATAGTCTACTTGGTGATGCAGAATAATGTAGGGACCTGCATCATGGCCCAATGGGTTAATCTGTTGCCTGTGGCATTGGCATCCTATACGAGTGCTGGTTCCAGTCCCAGCTGGCCACATCCATTCCAACTCCCTGCTAATGCTCCCGGGAAGGTAGCAGAAGATGCCCAAGTACTTGGGCCCAATCACCCATGTGGGAGACCTGGTTGGGTCAGCGTGCCCCAGCCCCAGCTGTTGAGGTCATTTGGGGAATGAACCCACAGATAGAAGATCTCTGTCTTCCTCTGTCTCTCCCTCTCCCTCTCTTTCTCTGTCTCTCTAAAACTCTGCCTTTCCAATAAATAAAATAAATATTTAAAAAGAAAAGAAATACACATATAATTACATGTAAATTGTTAAATAAGTGGTATGTGACATGAAAAACAGAGATAGAACTAATAAGAGGGTACATTTCAGTGAAGGTGGTCAGGGAAGGCAGACCTGAGGAGGTGCCACCCCCAGAGGCCTGAGTGCATGCAGGGGAAGAGCCAAGTTCAAGGCCCCCGAGAAGGGAGCAGGTTTGGCAGAAACAGCAGAGACCTGTGAAGGAAGTGAAAGTGAAAATGGAAGAACATGGGGTCAGCCAAAGTAGCTGCAATCCCTGGCAGGCCTTGTGGGTCATAACAAAGAATCTGACACTGGGAAACCCTTGAAAGGTTTTGAGCAGATGAGTGGCATGATCTGATCTCACTGTAAAATGACATCTTTGGAATCTATGATAACCTCACAATAAAAAGTTCAAAGAAAAAAAACTGGCTGCTGGGTACAGAGTATAGGTCATAGATATGGCAGGCAAACTCTAAGATGCCCCCAATGACCACTGCTTCTGATGCACCTGCTCTTTGGATTGCTTTCTCTTGCGTACATAGTAGATTCACCAACTCACAATGAATAAAGTATGACAGAAGTAATAAGAGGTCACTTTTGAGGTTGGGCAACAACAACAAAACAACAACAAAAAACTGTGGCTTCCAACTCAGCTGTTCTCTCCTCTCTTCCTCCCTCCCCTCTTCCCTCCCTCTCTCTCTGCCCCTCTCCCTGTCTCCCCCTCTCCCTGTCTCCCTGTCTCTCTACCTCCCTGTCTCTCTCTCATCACTTACTCTGGGTAAAGACAGCTGCTGCCATATTTGGAGCTGCCCAGTGCAGAAGTCAACAAGGAACTGACACTTCCCAAAGCCTCCAAGGAGCTGAAGCCTGGATAGGACATGAGTGGTGCTGGAGGCAGATCCATCCACTCCTGTCAGATCCTGAGATAATGTCAGCCTGGGCTGCAAGCAGCTTCATGGGAGACACCAAGCCCCCAGCTAAGCAGCTCCAAGTTTCCTGACTCACTGACACTGTGTAATATGTTGTTTTTCAGCCATTCTATTTTGGGATAATATGTTCTCCAGCAACAAATAACTAATACAGGGAATAAGAGCAGAAGCAGAAAGATTAAAGACCAGTGTGCTAACTGGCAGGCAATGACTTGGGATAGGTAGGAATGGTAGAAGCAGTGAGAAGTGGACTGGGTGGGTCAGGCAGAGGTGAGGAGGGAGTGGCCTGCTCTTTGAGACCTGGGGAAGGAAAGCACAAACCACAGCCCTGGTTCCCACTCAGGGTAAGTTGACCAGCGGGCCCCACAGTGGGACTGTTTGCAGTCATGGATGCAGATGGTGGCTCTAGAAAAATCTTGATGCTGGCTCCTATGGAAAGGTGTGAGGACAAGAAGACTGAGCGAAAGACCTGGCCTGGGCCAAAGCTACGACCACGTGGCAGGAGTTAAGAAGCCGATGCAAGTATGCCTGGAAGGGGAAAGCGACAGGATGTGGCAACAGCAGGATCCTACAGAGGTTAAGACAGAAACACTTTTGTTTGGTTGAAGTTAATCTGAAAAATTCATCGGAATAAACAGTGTGTTCCCAGGGGCAGGAGTTAAAGATCCTTAGAAAGCTGTACTCTGTCATGCTCCTGTCTCCAGGATGGGTCACCAGATTACTGTAAGCACAGGGACTCATCATGCACCACAGGCTGTCACCAGGCATGCAAGCATCTGTCCTGGAAGCAAGTTAACCTTGAGATTAAGACCGATGGGTTTCGATGTCAGGAAGATCAAGGTGGGAATTCCAGCTCCACTGTTGCTCTTGGTCTCTAAGCAGAGCCCACTACTATGTCAGAGGTTACAAACAGAGAGGTACACACATCCCTGCACAGTGATTTTTCTAGGAAAAGCTGCCATCAAAAGCCTACTTTACTCCATCAATGAACACAGCTGCTGGTTCCCTCGGCTCTCTTCCCACCCTTGATAAGGGAGCCTTTAAAATGCCTTAAAGAAGAGCTTTGCTGCTGAGCTGAGACCCAAGTGGGGACAGGGCCAATTCATGGGAGGAACAATGCTCTACAGAGTGGCACGCCTTCCGACCACTCCATGCACACAGTGTCACCACATCTGCTTCGCCAGCAGCTTCACTCTGCTTTGTGACCTACTGATACACAGAGAGACAACCCACAGGAGAGGCAGGTCAAGATGTTGCTGAGTCACTGCAGGACCAAGCGCCCACCCGGACATCTGCAAGGTGTAGGCTAAGCCCAGGGTCTGTCACACCACAGCTGTGGGGCACACCCCAGCTTGGACAGTACACCACGTTTGGGTATTTGGGGCCTTACCATTAAAAAGTTAATGCGTAACATCGAATGGCAATGCTGCCTCAGCAGCAGCAGCCAGGTTCAGGGACAAAAGGCATGACAAAGTAAAACCACCAAGAAAAATGGGCTGGAAAGGATAGATATTCACAAGCCAATATCTCCAGGAATACAAAGAACAGTATTATCAATTAGCCACATAATTATATGCAAGAATGAAGGGTCTTCAAAAAATCCATTGAAAAGATAGCTTATGAAAAATATGCATTCCATTTTTCTAAAAATGCTTTGAAATACCCTCATGTAGAGAAGCAAATCATATGTTATCACAAAATTCTGAACACACAAGAAAAACTGGAAAGGACAAAATGTTTGTTTCATGTACTCATCTAATCTCCAAGTCCATGGCTCAAAGACATCCACCTGCATCCAAGAAAATGTCATCAGCTGGGCTTCCTGCTCTAAAATGAAAGACTTCAGAAATCCAAATACGCTGGTAAATCTAAATCTGCTTCATCTGGGCCTATAATTAAGCCATAACCTCCTGCAAACACCCACAAACATTTATACTTAGAAATGGAAGAATCAAAATTACACAATTCACCAGCTTTCTTAATATTCCTCCCCACTGTGGCTCTTCACCAGCATTCTGTCATTTCTAATCTTTAGTGTCAGCTTGACAGTTAAACCAAACAAGAGCTAATGTTTGTGGCAGGAGAAAATAATCAGCACATCCACTCATTAGCATCCTGCTCACACATTCATTGTCAATTATAAATATTTGCTTGGGTTAAACTCTGCCACCATCATTGAAGCCATTACTGCCTGTAACAGAGTGATATATTTGAAGAGTCAAGCCTCTGGCATTTTGCAGCTGGGACCCAAGAATAATCAAAATGTTCATAAACTAACACTCGAGTCCCAGCAGAGTGTCTTACTCCAGATAACTAATGATTACCCTACACAATGCAACTACAAGTCAAACTCTGATTCATGAGTTTCATAATGATGCTTCTGGGCTATACCCATTAGCTTTTGTTAAAAGCCTTTCCAATTGCTATTTTGGGAAACTTTTAGGGGCAATCAAATACAAATACAGACAGTCCTTCACATACAAGAGTTCAATTTACAACTTTTTGACTTTACAATGGTGCAAAAGCAATATGCATTCAGTAGAAACTGTAGTTTAAATTCTGAGTTCTGGTTTTTTCCTGAGTGAGCAATATGTGTTACTCTCCTCTCTCCTGATGCTGGGCAGTGGCATTGGGCTACAGTGCCCCAGAAAACCACATGATCATGGAGCAGGGAGGTGGGGAGAAGGGAACACCAATACCATAAAGCCATGATGTTTGGTATGTTAGGAGTTCTCATGTTAAACAGTTTAAACTTAAGATAGTTCAATTTATCATGGGCTCATCAGGACATAATCCATTTGTAAGTCAAGGAGAATCTGTACACAGTTGGATCTGTACATTGGAAGATTCTGCAGGATTCTCGGGGAGCCCTTGATTTCTACTAAATGTAACAAAAGAAAGTTATTGGTCTCCCTTCCAGATTCTCTTTGAAGTAGTTGCACCTGCCCTGAACTGCTGAGGATTGTCTCCTAACTATTCAGCTGCCTCCTTCTCCAGAGACATGCCCTTGGACAAATGGGAGTTATCTTGACCTGGAAGCTATGCCCTCCCTACAAGTCCCTCAACCTCAGCCAGAGACTTACTGACTTGGAGTACACAGCGCAGGCTCCCTCTCTCAAGGGAGAGATGAGCAGAGCAATGTGGTGTAGCTCATGCTCCAGAGCTTCCCCCAGGCTGAAGGGAGTCTCCCAGGGAGTCCATGTTCTTTCCTCCAGCCTTGCCCGGTTCTTTCACCTTCACCTGAGAAGGAAAAAAAAAACACTTGAGAAATGATCCCCATCTCAGAGTCTGCTTCTAGGGAGCCTGAGCTAAGACAGCAAGAACTCCTCTATACTTAGGGGGCGACTGTGCTCCAGCCAAGCCCCACCGTGAACCCTAAGTTCTATCAAATAAGTGGATTGCCATTTCCCAAATACTTGAGGCGGATGGGTCGTTCCCATATGGTAGACCAGATGTCTTCCCCATGCACTGGGGTATACTCAGTCTAAGGACAACATCTCATTTGTTCCCAGTGCCTGGTAGCATTTTGGCAGAGTTCATCTCAGCCCTGACTGACAAAATCTTTCTCAACCTTTCCTGGAAACCAATTAGAAAGAGGTCAAAACCCCAGTGGAAAAATAGACATAGGATATAATCAAAACCAGCTCACTGGAATAGAAATAAGGACATCTGAAAGCACAGACATGCCCATCTTCACTCCTAATAAGTGAAATGAGAATTAACACTATGCTAAGATACAATTTTTCAACTATGATATTGCAGAAAATCCAAAATACAATTTTTTGTTCTATCTACATATCCACTCCAGTGATAGTGGTGGGTTTATTTTTTTAAACCTGTTACAAATGAATTGTTAACCTGAGAAATGCCACCATTGGAGTCCACAGTTGGGAAATGAGTCTGATAAAGCTTTGATAAATCCTTTAGAGCTATCAGTAAACCTTAATTATTAGCCTAGACACCCACTCCTCAGGAGTGTTATGATTTATACCATGTTCCTTCTCTAGATCATAAAGAACTCAGCACTTTCCTTATTTCCTCTGTTGGTCCTGCCCAGGCAAGAGTCCTCATTGTTCCTTTAATATGCTCCTCCCTTTCTCCTAAAATTTCCTCTCTCCAGAACCACAAAATATCTGCTAGCATAAGGATCACACTTTCAATTTGTCGTGTTTTTCCTTCCCATCTTAATGTAGGAGTGATCAAATGGAGAACGCATTTTCCTCTATCACACTGTCTACCAGTTAGTTAAGCATACTTCCTCCACAGATCTGTGTGATGGCATTTGATCCCAAGATTCACTTCCTCTTTTTGTAGGAAGGCTATACTTCTTCGTCTTGATGGTGTCGAGTTAGGTTGGGTAATATGTTTGGGTCAGTGAAATGTGAGGTGTCATGAGCCACTTCCAATCATAAGTTCCAAAACCCATCATGTGCTTCTACCATCATGCTCTCTCCTCTGCTGCAAGACCATTCCCAAGACTAGCATATCCCAGAAGGAATTTGTTCCTTCAGCCTGGGTCCTGGCATAAAGACAACATTGAACAAAGATACGAAGAATGTCAATGGGAGTGAGAAATAAACCCCTGTGGCCCTAATCCTCTGAGATTTGGGCGTCGTTTGTTACTGCAACACAGCCTTGCCCAGTCTAGGGTCTGACTCGTCTGCCATGGTCTATACACTCCAATGCATCTCCTTTTTCTCTCCTTTTTTTCCAAATAGCAGTTTTGCTCAAAATGAAATATATACAGCCATAAAAAAATTGACTGCATAGACGTTTTCTCTTCCTCTTTCCTTTCCCTTCCTTTTTCTTTCTGAATAATTCAGTGCAGCCACCATGAGGATCAAGGAAGGCAGGTGTGTGGTGAAGATCTGAAAAGCAGTGAGGTGACCCAGAGCAGTATGAGACATAACCAAAACATAAATGTGCTGTGGATACTGGGAGCCATGTTTCTCACTATAAGAGAAGCGAGACTATTACAATGAACTTTGTTCTGTTGGGTTCAAGTTATGTGATGGTGGCTTACCAAAAACTTAATCTGCTTTACTTTTCATTATCAACAAATTTAAGCAGTGTTGAGGGTATTCAACAGTTGCTATACAACCATATGCTGCAGTATGAATGCTTGTATCCCCTCCAAAATTCATATGTTGAAAAGTTAGAACTCCCAAGCTGATGGTAATGAGAGGTGGGGCCATTTGGAAGGTAATTGGATCATAAGGGAAGATTCCAAAGCCCTTCTACCACAGGAGACTCAGCAAGGAGACAACACCACCCGTGAGAAAGTAGGTCCTTGTCTGACACCAAATCTGCCAGCACCACCGTCATGGCCATCCCAGCTTCCAAAATGGTGAGAATAAATTTTTGTTGACTGTAAACTACCAAGTACAGACTAAGACATTATGCTTGAAGGTCCAAGGAAAACCACAGACCTAACTCTCAGTTAAAGTGGCTTCATCGTCAAAAAGAAAGTTAACAGTATAATACTTAATATTCCTGAAGAGATGGGTATCCTTATTAGTAAGTAAGGATTGTACTAACCTTTCATCTGCAGCTTGAATGGATTTTACAAAACTTTATTTAATTGATTCCCCGGTAGTAAGATGCCATAGGGGCATACCTTGACCACACAATTCATTTGCGGTTAGGGGAAAGAGAACCACTGTCATTGGGTACAGGTAGAATTAGAGTTCATATCTTTGGATTCAACCTTAATCACTTTTGGTACCATGTCGTTTAGTGATAGGTATCTTTTTACTCTCATGCTTTTTAATCTAGTTTTTATTTCCAGGAGGAAAGGCAGCCCTGAGCATCATCAAAATTTGGAGCTCATTTTACCACTATGGCTACTGTATTTGTAACACCCACATTAGGCTAAAGGAACACAAGGAAGTTTCTTACTGGAATTTCATGTAGCAAAAAATCCAGGCTCAGGGCCAGTGCTGTGGCATAGTAGGTTAAGCCTCTGCCTGCAGTGCTGGCATCCCATATGTGTGCCGGTTCTCATCGTGGCTGTTCCTCTTCCCATCCAGCTGTCTGCTGGTGGCCTGGGAAAGCAGTCGAGGATGGCCTAAGTGCTTGGGCCCCTGTGCCCATGTGGGAGACCCAGAAGAAGCTCCTGGCTTCAGATAGGCCAAACTCCAGCCATTGTACCAATTTGGGGAATGAGCCTGTGGATGGAAGACCTCTTGTTCTGTCTCTCCATCTCTGTCTGTAACTCTGTCTCTCACATAAATAAATAAATCTTAAAACAAACAAACAAAAACCCAGGCTCATCTGATTCTGCAGACCTGACTCAAGAAACACCAGTGTCAGGACCAGATCTTAAGGGAGCTAGAGATGGGACCTAGGGTTTGTGGGGATATTTTCACCTAAGTTTATTTAGGACAGTGAGTCTATTCATTATAAAAGAGAGTTCAGTTGTGGCAAAAATATCAATCACAAAGAACTTACTCTGTTTTAGAAAATGATGCTGTTTCTTCTGCTGGGATACAACCCTCATATCTTGATGTGACCCAGGTGTCCCCAGCTACTTGCTGGGGTTGAGAAATGTCTTTGACCTCCTGGCTTCCTAGTGCTTTGGTTTCTGAGGAGTATCTGCTCATCTCAAGCAGGGAATTGGAGAACCACAAACTGAATCATCAATGCCATGATAATCACGCATTAAACACTGCTTTGCACCAGGTGCTATCCTGGGCCCCAGGAATATAAAGGTAAAACATGGCCCCTTGGTACTTGGCTAGGGGGACAGACAAATGCAAGAGTCATTGTGATACATAAAGTGGGACAGACACAGTCAACCACACACACACACAGGAGAGACTAACACTGAGGACCAGAGAGGGTTTCACAGAGGTGACATTTGACCTGCACCTTGGAAGATGCCTATGAGCACAGGGAGTACCAGGGAGCGGAGGGCTCCAGAGACTTGGAGCTTGTTTTCGCTTATTCACTTATTGTTTTTCCAATTATTAAAGTAGTAATATTTACTTTAAAAATAATGGAAACTACCAAAAAAAAAAAAGCAACAGAACAATGATTCACTCAATAAATACATACATACATACATAAGACCCATAGCTCAATATACAAGGGCAATACTATAGTAATAATTAACATTTTGCCATAAGTCCTTATTTTCTTTTTATAGATATTTTAATAAAGAACTGTATCTATACTGTATTTATAATTTTGCATATTATTTATTTTCAAAAATATTCTATTATTACATAACTTGGTAAATCAATATTCATAGCTTCTCAATGCCTCATTAAATAAATTTATCATAATGTATGTAAACATTAATCTTTTTTAGCATTTTTTTGGCTAGCATTTTTTTGGCTGCAAACATTCGGTTATATAAAGGATGTCTTTCTGAGTAAATTTTTTTTTGTTATATTTTATAAGCCCAAATCCTGGCTTAATAGTATAGGAACATTATTAACACTTTTGATACTATCCAAATTGCTTTCTACAAAGGTTGCAGTAATTTAAATTATCATAAATTATCCCTAGTGTCTTTTTAACTAACCCCTCATCAACACTGCATAGAATTTTTAAAAACAGATTTTTTTTTTTTTTGGACAGGCAGAGTGGACAGTGACAGAGAGAGAGACAGAGAGAAAGGTCTTCCTTTGCCGTTGGTTCACCCTCCAATGGCTGCTGCGGCCGGCGCGCTGCGGCCGGCGCACCGCACTGATCCGATGGCAGGAGCCAGGTACTTCTCCTGGTCTCCCAAGGGGTGCAGGGCCCAAGCACTTGGGCCATCCTCCACTGCACTCCCTGGCCACAGCAGAGAGCTGGCCTGGAAGAGGGGCAACCGGGACAGAACCCGGTGTGCTGGCGCCGCAAGGCGGACGATTAGCCTAGTGAGCCATGGCGCCGGCTAATAGGTTTCAAAATATTTTTAAATGTTTTCAGACTTCTTCGATTTATAAACTGTTTAGAAGTATATGAATTAGTTCTATCGAGGCAAGATGGCGGAATAGGAAGGGAGCACACTGATAGTCCGGGGAGAGATAGTTTAATAAAAGTGGAGATACTGCAGTGTGGGGAGCAAACCGGACTAGACTGAGTTACTGGAATTAAGACTTATTCTATGCATCTGCTCTCCCGCAATATGGCGCTGGGAGAGAAGTAAACAGCTTCCACACAGCTGCCTCCAGTTCAACCAATAAACTGTAGGACTTGCTCCTGATTGGAGGAGAGCAGCGTACTCGGCGTGTGGGCAGCCGAGTTGGGATTGGCGGAGGAGGACTATAAAGGAGGAGAGAGACGGCATGCACCGGGAACATCTATGGGGAACATCTAAGGGGAACATCTAGCTGAAGGAACACCTGTGCAGCCCCCCAGAGAGAACCGGCCGGCGGTGTGCCGCTCCCCTGCGGAAGTGGGGAATGCGGCCAGGGGGAACTGCCCTTCCACGGAGGTGGAAGGGATAGTAGCCAACCCGGGAAGAACCAGCAGCAAACCCGGGGAGGGCCGAGCAGACGAAAGAACAGCGCAGGGTCCTGTGTCGTTCCTCCACGAAGAGGGGGAGCGACACTGCAGGTTCAAGGAAGAGTAGGGGAGGAAACAGCAGAAGAAACTCTTCCAGAATGCGTGATTCACAGCGGACCTGCGTGGAGAGCGTGGGAGCACACAGTTCGGGACACCAGCAGCAGACTCAACACACCAGCGCTGGAATGCGAGGTGAGCCGAACCTCAATAGCCCGAGACACCGGCAGGCAAGCGGAGAGAGGAGACTAGAGGGAACGACCCCCAGGGGGGGAAAGTTCACCAGGCTAACTGGAAGAGAGAGAGAGAAAAAAAAAAAAAGGTGACTGGTACGGACACGGGTTTCTCTCTCTCCGCTCACCTCTCAAGGGCGAGCAAGACAAAGAGCAGGCGCCATCTTGGACATACGTCATAAGCAGAGCGACCTCAGGTCTGCACCGGCCCTGAGCATAGCAGAAAAACCTGACTCTGGGTGGGGCGAATTAACAGGAGATTAGGACCTAGTAAATTTGTGGTGCTACTGAACTGAGACTGTGAAAAAAGAGATGGTGGGGGAGAGAACTCACAGAATTCACGTGAGCACTCTCCAGAGATGCTACAATTCCGTAACTTTGGCAACCCAGTGGAAGACTGAAGGAGAATTTGAGCCCACTCTGAGGGCAGAACAGATTCCCTGTGTAGTCCTTGGGAAAGAGCTTCTGATCTCTGGCTCCTGTGGGTATATCATTTGCCTGCTAACTACCTCCAACTTCGTTCAGCTGTGTGGAATTACTTCCTTTTGAATCAAAGAAAGAAAGAGAGAGAGAGAGAGAGATCTACCACGCCTAACCTGGGAGTGTCACCTTTGGCACACCAAACAGAGCTCTCAGGCCACACCCATCTCAAGCCCTAAGGCTCCATCAAAAACAGACAGTCCACTTAATCTAGAGTCATAGTATAACAAGAAAAAGCACCACAGTGAAGAAACCAAATATTTCCAATATGCCAAATAACAAACGCAAAAACCGAGGTAATAAAAACAAGGAAGTCACCATGACGCCCCCAAATGAAAAAGACACCCCAATTCAAGATTATGAAGATGATGACATAGAAGAAATGCAAGAAGCAGATCTCAAAAAATTGATAAGAACATTAAGAAGTTCTCAAAAACAAATTCTTGAACTACAGAAATCCTTAATGGACAAGATAGAAAATCTCTCTCGTGAAAATGAAATATTAAGGAGGAATCAAAATGAAATGAAACAACTAGTACAACAGGAAACTGTGATAGTGACTGAAGTGAAGAATTCAATAGATCAAATGAAAAACACAATAGAGAGCCTTACAAACAGAATGGGTGAAGCAGAAGAGAGAATATTGGACTTAGAAGACAGAGAACAGGAAAGGATACAGTCAGACCAAAGAAAAGAAGAGGAAATTACAAATCTAAAACATATTGTCGGGAATCTTCAGGATACTATTAAAAAACCCAACATTCGGGTTCTAGGAGTTCCTGAAGGCATGGAGAGGGAGAAAGGATTGGAAGGCCTTTTTAGTGAGATATTAGCAGAAAATTTCCCAGGTTTGGAGAAGGACAGAGACATCCTAGTACAGGAAGCTCACAGAACCCCTAATAAACACGACCAAAAGAGATCCTCACCACGACACGTTGTAATCAAACTCTCCACAGTGAAACATAAAGAAAAGATCCTAAAATGTGCAAGAGAGAAACGTCAGATTACTCTCAGGGGATCTCCAATCAGACTCACAGCTGACTTCTCATCAGAAACTCTACAAGCTAGGAGGGAATGGCGAGATATAGCCCAGGTACTAAGAGAGAAAAACTGCCAGCCCAGAATATTATATCCTGCAAAGCTATCATTTGTGAATGAAGGTGAAATAAAGACTTTTCATAGCAAACAGAAATTGAAAGAATTTGTTGCCACTCGTCCAGCCCTGCAAAAGATGCTTAAAGATGTGTTACACACAGAAACAAAGAAACACGGTCATCAATATGAAAGAAGATAAAGGAAGGAAACCAAGGAAGGAAACCTCACAGCAAAAGATCACAGGGAATTCAAAGCATATATTAGAACTTATCTTTGGCTAATGGCAGGGCAAAGTTACCACTTATCATTAGTCACATTGAACGTGAATGGCCTGAACTGTCCAGTTAAAAGACACCGATTGGCTGATTGGGTTAAGGAACAAAACCCATCTATTTGCTGCTTACAAGAAACACATCTTTCCAACAAAGATCCATACCGACTGAAAGTGAAAGGCTGGAAAAAGATATACCATGCCAACAGAAATGAAAAAAGAGCGGGCGTGGCCATCTTAATATCGGACAACATAAACTTTACCACATAAACTGTTAAGAGAGACAAAGAGGGGCACTATATAATGATTAAGGGATCAATACAACAAGAAGATATAACAATTATCAATGTATATACACCTAACTACAGGGCACCAGTTTATCTAAAAGATTTATTAACGGACTTAAAGGGAGACTTAGACCCCAATAAAATAGTACTGGGGGACTTCAATACTCCACTCTCAGAAATAGACAGATCAACAGGACAGAAGATCAACAAAGATACAGTAGATTTAAACGACACTATAGCCCAAATGGATCTAACAGATATATACAGAACTTTCAAGCCTACAGCTAAAGATTTTACATTCTTCTCAGCAGTACTTGGAACCTTCTCTAGGATTGACCACATACTAGGCCATAAAGCAAGTCTCAGCAAATTCAAAAGAATTAGAATCATACCATGCAGCTTCTCAGACCATAAAGGAATGAAGTTGGAAATTAGCAACTCAGGAATCCCTAGAGCATACGCAAACACATGGAGATTGAACAACATGCTCCTGAATGAACAATGGGTCATAGAAGAAATCAAAAGAGAAATCAAAAACTTTCTGGAAGTAAATGAGGATAACAGCACAACATACCAAACTTATGGGACGCAGCAAAAGCAGTGTTAAGAGGAAAGTTTATATCAATAGGTGCCTACATCAAGAAATTGGAAAGACACCAAATAGATGAGCTTTCAATTCACCTCAAGGATCTAGAAAAACTGCAGCAAACCAGACCCAAATCTAGTAGGAGAAGAGAAATAATTAAAATCAGAGAAGAAATCAACAGGATTGAATCAAGAAAAACATTACAAAAAATCAGCCAAACGAGGAGCTGGCTTTTTGAAAAAATAAACAAAATTGACACCCC